TGACTCTGTAAACCGCTTAGAGAGGGCTGAAAGCTCTATGAAGCGGTATATAAGTCTAACTGCTATTGCTATTAATAATTTCTATCTTACATTATCATTCATCAGCCAGAATTCTTGGAAGATCACGTTCTTCAAAATCATGTGGAGGAATTCTGTTTCTTATCAAAAGAACAGTCCTTAAGAGCATAAGCAATCCAATTGCCTATTTAAATTCTAGTGGATTACAGTAATACCTTTCTACCTTTTGGTAAAGACATGGCTCTGCCATTTGGCTTAGGGCCCCAGTGGGGGATTAGCATGATGAGGGTGGTTGATTGAGTAAACAGATCCCAAATCTGCCCCTACCATCCGCCATATGTTTTTGGTTTTAATGTTTGTTTTTAACTTTTCATGTTCTAGATTTCATGTAACTATAAGTCCCCAAAGTTGCCCTATGGTAAGATGGGAGGCCAGTAACATTCTTTACTTGTTTGTTTGTTTGTTTGTTTGCAAAGTGCTTGATTTATAAATAAACAAATGAATAGCTTGATTCATCATTTACTTTAAAATTCAGGTGTCTTACATGTAAATATTCTCAATCATCAATTTTCACACTTTCCTTTCATTATCCCCGAGTTTAATTCATCAGTGGACTGTTCCTGTTACATGAAATGTTTTTTTTCTTTCTTTTCAATAAGCATTTCACATAACTACTAAGAGAATTGCCAGTTCTGTTAGTATTTCCTATAGTTGGCTTGCAAAAGGGAGATGCATATATTATAGAAAAGATTTATTATATATGTAGAAAATATTAAAAGTTCCCTCAATGAACAGACTGACAGATCTGTTGTGGTCCATTTGTTGTGCTTTTTACTGTATCAGGAAGCCTAGGTCAAAACAGTGTTAAAGCATTCTGCCCAGGGATTAGATCCTCCAAGAGAGATAAGTATAATTTATTTTACCATTTGCTAATTAAAAAGGGCATTTTTATTACTTAGCAATAAATAAAATGACAACACTTCAATCTTGACTGGTAGATATGTTCAGTAGAAATAAAGAATATGCATTTCCTCAAGTTATCTGGTAATTTAGAAGGATAGTATTCTAATGATTGTCCCAAATGGGACAATGGTAGTGAAATCTTCAAATAATCTTGTAAAGCGAAAAACATTTAATTGGTTTAACTTATTATTTATTTCTATAGGAAGTTTTAGAAAAATTGAAGAAATTGCACCCTTTACCTGGCCTGATTTTAGAATGGAGAAGGATAACTAATGCAATAACCAAAGTGATATTTCCACTACAAAGGGAGAAACTTTTCAACCCTGTCCTAGGAATGGAAAGGATCTATCCTGTTTCTCAATTTCAAAGTGCTACAGGTAGCAAGTTATTATCTTAGCAAATTTAACCATTATTTGTGGACTATGCATCCCCCCAACTTTAGTTGCTGAAGACTGATAGCATGGTTTCCTGTAATTTTGAGGCAAGAAATGTTTGAAAATGCATAAAATGTTGAACGATCTCTAAAATAAACATATAAAAGTTTTAAAATACAAAATCTTTCACCTCTTGCCCTCAAAGTTTTAACAAAATCTCTTTGCACTATGCAGTCCTGCAATCCATGCATCCATCATAACATCACTTTTTAATGTTTCGTAGAAACTATCTTGGCACTATCTTTCATCTTCCAAGCCTACATTTATCTTTGCTCTATGTTTGTAGGTCGCATAAGCTTCAGAGAACCCAATATACAGAATGTACCTAAAGACTTCGAGATTGAAATGCCAACAATGGTTGAAGAGAGCCCACCTTTTCAAAAACACCCTCTTTTAAGAAGCAGGTAAAAATATAGTGCATTATTTCTACTTCTTTAAATTTTAATTTCAGTTCTCAGATTTTGGGGGTCACATTTCTGAAAAGACATGAGTTATCAGATTTACTATGACATTAGAAACACATTCTGCTTGCATTTATTGATTGCGATTACTACACTTATATCTCACCTTTTTATTAGAACCTCACCCAGAAATATATCTAAGACAGCAATTTGTCTAAAGTAACTGAAAACAGCTAGAATTAGTATTGTGAGAAGATATATTGATAAACGGTAGAAGATCAAAAGATGTAGAACTATTTCCACTTTTAAGACCAGTAACCCTTAGACTAAAAGATGAATTGATTTGATTGACTAATATAATATATTTCTGTAATCCAGAAAAGAAGATCTGGAGCAGCAGTGATAGTGAGAGCCAGAAATCCAAAAATGCTGGTAGTGCGAAGAGCCTGAGAGTAGATGTTCTTGACTGCCTTTTCACCAGTTTAGTCACTAGGCATACAGAAGAGGGAAACCCATATGTTGGTTGAAATTCAGATGGATCTGAATGGACTGGAAGTCAGTTAAGAAATGTGTGACAGAAACCCAATAGATAAGGACCTCTGGGAAGGGAAGTTTCATGAAAAGAGCTCTAATGACACCAACCCTCCAGCTGAGGTTGTGACTTCATGAGCCAAGAAAGAAGGCTAGCAAGTACTAATTTTCAGTATCAGAGTTTAAGGAAAGTTGTGGCTAATAAACCCATTTAAAAATCCCTCTAAATTTGGGGAGGCACTTATTTGAACCCTTAAATCTCCTCAAAACCAAAGAAAATTTCTATTCTCGAGTGGGCTGCTTAGAGAATCCAAAGGAATGGGTTAATTTCGGTTGGGTTGCCTAGAGACTGAATTGAATAAACTTGGCCATACCTCCCTTTTTCACTCGGCTCATCAGTTTTTTCAATTCAGTCTGCCTAAAGAGACATATTCACATTTTATCCTGTACCTTTAAGGAGGTTTTCTTTGGATTCTTCTTAGCAGTCTCAGGTATTAAAGTTCTTTATTTATTTTGGTTAATCTGTAATGTTGCTTGTTTGGCGGGTGCGCTGGTTAGCCCAGTCTGCCGGCAAGAACCACTGCCGAGGTTTTTCCCCTCCAGGGGAGAGCGTACGAGCACGGACCTTTCTGCCTGATTGCTCAGGTTAGTCCGTTCTCAATTGCTGCCTGGTTCTGAGGGCTGTGAGTTCGGTGCTCCGTTCTCGGGCCCCTCTGTCTGCGCTTGGAGGCTTGGTGCACCATCTTCCCCTCAATGCTGCCTTTACCGCTTCAGACTTGTGGAGCTGTCATATTGGTACGGATTTCAAATTGTGCGTGCGGGGGCTGCGCCTGGAAATACGGATCTCTGATTGGCTGTATTTGATTGGCTGGCCGTTGTTTCTTGGTGTCAATTAGGCTCCTGAGCAGAGTCAGCCATTTTAAAGTGCCGAGAGCAGCAGTGTGGTTTCGATCTCGCTGACTAATCTCTGCAGGGGATCTCAATTTGAGTAGCTTTGGCGCTTCTTTCGCGGTGATTGTGTATCACCTATTGAGCAGCCAGGATCGCTGGGTCCCTTGCAGGATTGCCCTGTATTTCCCCGATAAGTCACTCTGTGTGTAATTACTGACAATGGCAGACCATGCTACCATTGCAGCATAGGGGGAAGGAGTTTCCCCTGGAAGTTCGGCCTTGGGGGGGATTCCCCCCACCCGGCATGGTGGGGAGGGCTACCACCAGGAGCATGGCCAGTAGACCTAAGGCCTCTTCTGTTTCAGTGGCTGCTAAGGACACCCGTTCCAAGCTCCAGGACCCTTCTAAGAGGGCCTCTAAAGCCCCTAAACCATCCAGGAGCCCCAGTTCTCCGCCGCCCTTGCAGGTAGAAGCTCTGCCTTCTTTATCGCTCCAGGGCTCCCCCTCGATAACGACCAGAGATCGGTCCCCGGATAATATCAAGGCCTTTCTGAGGAGGAAGTGGGCCTAGGTTCTGGTTCCACACCAAGTGCATCGGGCCTCAGCTTTGCGCAGGCCTCTCATACCAGACACTCCACTTCTGCTGCCAGGCGTTCTCTGTCCGAGGCCACATTCACCCCCACAGCTGCTGAGCTTCGTGTGGCAGATAATCAGATTATGGATCTACCCAGAGATTTCAGGGAGCTTATCTCTGCTGCTATTTCACAAGGGGTTAATTCTGAACTTGGCAGGAGGTCCAGGCATTCAAGGGCACCTTCACGGCCTGTCCCAACCCTGCAGGGGGCCCTCCATCACCCGCGCCCTGTGTTCACAGTGAAGAGTCGCTACTGGGTGATGAGCAAGGTGACCATGAATTATCAGATGATGAGGGAGCCCCCCCCCCGGATGTCCCCAGTCCTGGGGGCCTCTTCCGGCCTACTCTATTCAAATTCTTGCTCATCAAATCTAAGTCTACTGCTAACATCAGTGGCAAGGGCACACCAGTGGAACCCTCCCTGGTCTAGATTCCACGGAACGCTTGTTTTCAGAACCAGTTCTGGAACAAGAGGTCATTCCATCTCCCAAACTCTTTCTGGATATCATCCAGTGACAGTGGTCCCAACCTGCTGCGGTTCCCCCTACCGAGCAATAATGACAAGAGGCTTTTTGGGCCCGGACTGGATCTGGAGGGTCTCCTCCAATTACCATCCGTGGATCCACCAGTCGCTGCCTTGACCTCACCTGCCATTGTTTCATCAGACCCATCTGAAGGGCTTAAGGCAGAGGACCGCAAGTCTGAACAAACCTTCTGCAAATCGCACCAGGCACATCATGCATCTACGGTCGCATCCTTTTTCAATAGGACTTCCCTCGTATGGCTTAGACAATTACAGTCCAGACTAGCGCCAGAGGACATGCGCCTCCACCAAAATGTTAATAAGTTGGTGGCAGCCTTGAAATTTTCTGCTGATGCCATCTTGGCAGCGGCTAAATTGGCATCCAGGGCATTGGCTACTACAGTCACATCCCACCGACTTCTCTGGTTCCGCCATTGGCAGGCGGACATGTGCTCAAAGTGGCGCTTGGCATAGCCCATTCAAAACTAGGAAGCTTTTTGGGGAATCTCTGGATCCCATTCTCATAGAAAACAAAGATAAAAAGAAAGTGCTTCCCTACGTTCAGAGATGGGCGCACTGCAGGTCTCAACCGGCAGCCCTTTCGGGGGGGCTCAGGGTCCACGGGACCCCAATACCAGAGATCCTATTACCAGGGATCAGATAGGCCCCAGGACAGATCCGGATTTCGGGACAGGGGCAGACAATAGCAGCAACCACAGCAGCAGCAGTAGTCCCAGATCAGACGTGGAGGCTGAGGCTCTGGCTACCGACCCTTCCGTCGGTACCGCTGACTCCCAGGTTGATATTCCCATTGGTGGTCGACTCACTCGCTTAGTCGACCAATGGGAACAGTCAACCTCAGATGCTTGGGTTCTCACATCAACTGCCAGGGAGGCACGCACATTTGGCCATTGAGGGGGACATGCTGAGATGTGACAATTTCTCCACACGTGTCATCCGTACCATCCAAGCAGCTAGATGTCCATCCACTACACGAGTGTACAACGTGACCTGGTCAGCTTTCTGCAGGTGGTGCCGTCCCCTGGGAATCGCCCCGAGATCGGCTTCCCTTCCTCAAGTCTGAAGACAGACGGCGGCTCTTTCCACGGTTCTTCATGGTGGTATGAGCCGCATCCTGGCACACCATCCCAGAGTTTGTGCCTTTCTGAGGGGAGCTGCCAACCTCTGACAATCCATTGTTATCCGTCGTGGGAGCTGTCCATCATGTTAGAATCCTTGACATCAGCTCCTTTTGAGTCCATCCGTTCCATCAGTCTTCGGTTACTGACCTTTCTTGTGGCCATAACTTCGGCTCGGCGGGTCTCAGAGTTGGCGACCCTATCAGTCCGCAGTGACCTCTGCATTTTCCACCTCAGTAGAGTGATCCTCCATCTGGACCCGTCCTTCCTCCCGAAGATCAACTCCTGGTTTCATAGGGCCCAGGAGTTGGTGTTACCTGACTTGTCCTCATCCAACGCATCTCCGCGAGCGGAAATGGCACCACGTCGACGTGCATCGAGCTCTTCGACGTTACATCAAGTGCACAGCGTCCTTCCGACGGTCAGAGGCCCTTTTTGTTGCCTTCCTTCCCGGTTCTTTGGGACAAAGAGTCTCGTCCACCACTATTGGAAGATGGCTGAAGGCCTGTATCGCCAAGGTGTATGAGGCGCAGGGCTGTCCATTGCCCTGGAACGTCATAGCCTACTCGACATGCAGTGCGGCCACAACCACGGCCTGGGCAACGCAAGCCTCTGTCGAGATTTGTAAGGCGGCGACGTGGTCATCTCCGTCGCCCTTCATTGAACATTACAAGTTGGATGTCTATGCTTTAGCTGAGGCAGCCTTTGGACGTCGGGTACTGCAGGAGGTTCACTCGGACTCTGACTCCCTGGACCAGTCATCTACCTGCCCTTAAGTCAGTATGCCTAGGCATATCCCATTCCTTTGGAATCTCTAAGCAGTGCACTGGAGAAAGGCTGTTGTACTTACCTGAACAGTCGTTCTCGGTGCACTGCGTGAGAATCCAATCCTGCCCATTCACGTTTCGGCCCAGGGCTGTAGGTGGCAAATGAGTGTTGCAGTTAGCAGGACATTAATGTGTTCTCATCTCTTGAAATGGCCATGCCTTCCATTGAAAAAACTGATGAGCCGAGTGAAACTTGGCCATGGCCAAGTTTATTCAATTCAGTCTCTAGGCAACCAGACCATGATTAACCCATTCCTTTGGATTCTCACGCAGCGGACCGAGTATGACCGTTCAGGTAAGTACAACGGTCTTTTTATCCATCCAGAAAAATGATGCAATATGCTCCATAGGGCTATGGCTACCAGGGAGGACAAGCTGAAGAGATTTGCTACTGCTGATTTGTATGTTAATGACATAACATTTATTGCATTTATTCACCACACATATTAATTTACTTGTTGAAATAAATAATAAGCCATATTTTAATTTAAAACATATTTTACAGATGTGGAAAACATTCTGTGTTACCATGTGGACCTAAGAGTCTAACTGAAGAAATATCAAACAGGAAGAAAATACTATTTTCTGTTAGCATGAGACATGCCTTTGTACCATTTCCAGGTAATGCCTTAAAATTGTTTTGACTTCATTGCACTTAATGACCATGCAGGATTTGCTTAACAACAGCAACTGCCATCTGCTTGAATCACTGAACCTTTTTCTGTTTCATTCAGATTAATATTATTTTCAAACACATCTTGTCTTTGAAAACTTTCCCTCCCTGTCAGACTTTAACAGCCATTCCCCTTCAACATTAGAAAAGAAGAAACATAATTTTGCTGGCAAGCACATTGTTTTGTTTATCTACATTCATTAAAAAAATGATTGCATTTGTTCATGATTTTAATAAAATTTCAATGCTTAGAATTCCACAACAGAAATCCCATCAAGATTTTTTTCATAAAATAGATACCCCTAGGCCTTCCGTAGACAAGAAAATTGGCTGTGTGAGTTTGGGCAAGTCATGCTTTCGTAGAGAAATCAGGAGGATAAGATATGTTTGCCACCTTGAATTATAAATATTAAAAAAGCAAGATAAAAATTTAATAATAATCAGAACATGGGCTGCACACAACAGTCACTAAGATCTTATTGTAACCAAATCATGTGGAAAGCCATTTTTTTCAGAAACAGGGTGATAAGTTTTTCAGGAATTTCACCATTCATTATCTTTTATCTGCAAATGGTGTTAATATTATTTATACAACTTCTAAGGATAAATTTCCCCAATAAAATGTTTGTACTCGTAATAATACTATTAATAGTATACTATAAAAACTATCAATAATACAATGTAAATTATATTATTAATTATATTTTATTATTAGTTATATTTAATACAGTATATTAATGCCTATGCCACCTGTTGATGTTTCACAGTATAAAGTTTTGGATTAATAATAACACATGTAGGGACTTTTCTGAAATATATATTTACTAAAAAAATTCTTAGTATAAAATACAAATAAAAATAAAGAATGGGAAAAAAAGGGAAAGCAAAGAAGATGGAGGGGATAGAATAAGGGGAGGAGAAATAAAAAACAAAAAGCAATGACTTTTCCGGTGTAGAAAGATACATAATGAAGTTATAATATCAGCTTTTTAGTTATACCAAATAGTAGCTATTAGCCATTTCTATAGCAATAACTCAATTGTCAAAACCCAGAGTCAAAATTTTATTTTTTTCTCTTTCACCAAAAGTGGTTTCCAAGTTACAAAAGAACTATTTTTATTTTTGTCCCTAATTAATGCAGTCAACTTCTCTATTTCCATTTCAATCCATTCGTCCATTGTGGGAGTTGACGCTTCTTTCCATTTCTGCACGTATAAAATTATTTTGTAGCAACAAGGTTCTAATTTTTTCCCATATCTTTATCTAATAGTCCAAAAAGAAAGTTTCTATTGTAGGTCCATTTTTAAATTTTTTCTGAATTAAAACATGGATTTCTACCCAATATTTCTTTGCATTGTCACATGTCCATCATATATCATAAAAAGTACTCTTACACTTGCATTTCCAACAACTATTTGAAACACTCTTATACATCTTTGCTGGTTTATCTGGCATTAAATACAACTAGTATATCATTTTATGGAAATTCTCTTTAAGATTATAATTCAATATGAATTACATTCAATTTTGACCTAGCAGTCCCCAACCTTTCCAACTTGAAAGGCGGGGTGTGGGAATGGTTCTGTGTGAGTGGTGGGCGCACACCCACCCTCCACTCGCACAAATGGAGCTCTGCCCGCTTGCACATGTGCCCACCATTCACACAAGTGGAGCTGCACGTGTACGCTTGCCCACTTCTTGCACAGCCCAGTTCCAAATGAACCATGGCCCAAAGGTTGGGGACCCTTGCTTTAACCCACATATTTTTCCATTGCTTTAGTTATATATTATAACCAAAACTTCTTGCCCACTGAAACAGACAATGTTTAACATATTCAATTTCTAGGTTTAATTGTAGCAACCTTTTATAAACCTTGGCTATAAGATGTTCATCATTTGTACAGAGTATCATTTCAAATTTATTTTTAGCAGCTTCAAAATCGCAATTTTTGTTATACAAAATAAATCTTTCTTTCAATTGTAGATAGATGAATGAGGAACATGTAAGATCGAAATTAGCACAGCACGTATAGACTTTTAAGAGGTTTATGTACTTGGTATTTTCCTTACTTAGGGTGCCTGTACATAAACAGCTGTCATCGTTCAGGAAAAGCCAGACTTCAAATCTTTCTTCTTTACCACCCTCTACATAGAACACTGTTGATGAAGACTTATAATTTAGCTTTATTTTTCTGTGTGTGCACAGAGACTTCATTCTGGGGGGAAATGTAAACATATGATACTTAGCCTTTTCTGAATTCTATTTTACTGGATTATCACAATATATCAAATATCAACTACATCATGGGATAAACTTGTTGAAACTGAAGTAGGAACTTGGCCATATCCATACATCTTTCACTGAAAGATTAGTGAAGGAGAGAAAGAAGCCCTTATTTGTGATTTGAAGGAAATCAGTTAATTTAGAAATTGTTTTGTATGATTGACCATAGGTGGCTTGATCTTGGCTGCTGATTACTCTCAGCTTGAGTTAAGAATCCTTGCACATTTTTGTTCCGACAATCGGCTACTCCGGGCCTTTGGTAACAACGTTGATGTCTTTAGAAGCATTGCAGCTGAGTGGAAGAAGATTAACCCCGAAGAGGTTGGGAATGATTTAAGACAACAAGCTAAGCAGGTAGTTTTGAAAATGTACATCTTTCCTGAGATACCAATTCAGCTGAACGTTGTTTTTTTTTTTACCTTTCTCTATGCCCATGATTAAATATCTAATGTTTAATCAGGTATATAATATGAATTTTGTATCATGTTTAGTGTATATGAAATTTCTAGTAAGTTGAAAATTTAGAATATCATAGTTGAAAATTAAGCATCATGGTATTCCATTTAATATTTAATGTAATTAAAAAACAGCTTTACTACAAAATAGAACTGTGAAATAGACATTTTACTTTGGCCACTAAGCTGGGAGTGTATTTCATTAACTAGAAACCACTATTGTATTTTATTACTGAGTCTGTAATATTTTTTAAGATCATATTTAGGAAATCTAGCAAACCTATCCCATTAAGAACTGCCCAATTCCTAATGCAGATAATTCTTGACTATTATTTATTCAGTGATCATTCAGAGTTATGGTAGCAATAAATAAGGGAACTATCAACTGATGGAATTCAGTAAACAACAGTAAAAGTGAATGCCAGGATTGCCATTGCTAGGCAATGTAGTCACATAGCAATAGCAATAGCAGTTCGACTTATATACTGCTTCATAGGGCTTTCAGCCCTCTCTAAGCGGTTTACAGAGTCAGCATATTGCCCCCAACAATTTGAGTCCTCATCTGCCCCACCTCGGAAGGATGGAAGGCTGAGTCAACCTTGAACCT